GTATTATAAAGTTGTATTGAGAAAGAATAAACTAGTTTTGTTTTAAGAAAGGACTTGTATCGCTGAAGTTCTTCGGAAATAATTTTTACGGAAAATTAAGAAACGACCAGAGACGTAACAATATATATATATATATATATGTGTGTGTGTCTAAATCTCATTTGTATATCATCCAAAACTTGTAACTGTGTTTTTTTTTTGCGCAATATGTTACCTGTAGAGCATCGAAAATGTGGCAGTGACTGTTAAGACTAACTGCGGTAGATTATATAGTGGGTAATCTCGTGCTTCTCGTACCAATGTACTTAAACTTTAGGTTTGATTGTCAATTTTTAGACACTTATTGGAATTTATATTGAGATTTAATTATATTCCGTTATTTATAAGCTACGGAAAGGTAAAAAATATCTTCATGTGTTTTCTTCTGTGTTTATTTATGTTACTGAAGTAATTGTGTTTAAAGTTAATGTTTATTAATGTTATAAACCGGGTTTCGATACCCGTGGTGGGTAGCTCACAGATAGTCCATTGTGTAGCTTTGTGCTGAATTCCAAACAAACAAACTCTTTCCTTGTATATATATCTATACAAATAACATTTAATTGAATTTTGATTTTTTTACTCTTCATGATACTCATAATAGTTCTTGTTCTGTGCTTTGTTTAATTTCCTTCATGTAATAAATAACCTTTTCTGCTATACACTAGCATTGAGTAATTGTTAACGTTTTATATCAATTGGTACAAAATTTTTCATATCTGTGAAAACAAATCTCTATTATTTGCTTATGGACATCATGGAATATTGTAGCAATGGTTATTTAATCCTTCAATAACTGATAACTTTACTGATATAACTAATAATTTTAAAGAATTTATTTCCGAGAGGAAAGAAAGAGTTTGAATGTAAACAAAACATTAATCAAACATGTTTGTCTATAGCTACTGAACTTATACTAAAAACAGAAAAAGGAATATATTATATATTCGTATTATTATATTATTAAATACACGTATTATAAAAACTAATACATCTGTAATCTAGGTAATTATTATTATTTTTAATTTTGGAAGTATTTTCAAATTTAGGTGAGACTTTCTGTTTGAAACTAACTGTATGACAGATACAGTAATTGGGCCTGAATTTTACTAACCTCTGATGTCACAACTTCAAATTAACATATCAGACTTACCTACTGCAAAATGAATTGCTCCCCACGTAGCTTGCATCGTTGCAACGAGTTCGGATGTTGCTAGCAGAGATGAATAAGTTGTTAAAATAACAATCATGAGGGCGAAGGTGAAACTTTCCAGTGCTTCAAAAATCAATGCATGATATGGAGAGGGAATATAAGAATAACCTATAAAACGGACGGAATAAGCAAAAAGCCCCAGTGATATTAGTGGGACAAAACCAAACTTCCGGGAGAGGTATCCAGCTAGAAGAGTAGTGGGGATACCACACAATGCCCCCACAGTAAACGTCATCCCCATCAAGGTCTTGCTAGCTCCAAGAGACTCTAAATACCACAGCAAGAAGGTTTCCAGAAATCCCCAGGCACTACCAATGAATGCACAGTACAGAAGAAGAACCGTGGTCTCCGGATTTCTTAGTAACCGTTTGATGTTTGACAACAACTGCATGGAGGGAGCCTTGGCAGTGATGTTTATAAACAGTGTAATGACAGCCATAATGATCTTCATGCCCCCATACGTGAAGAAACATGGACGATAGTCTTCCACTGATCCACGCTGGAGGTAATCCATTACCACTCCTGTGACTGGAGGGGAAATGCAGTTGGCCACTGAAACCCATACTCTCTGGAACCCGTACTCAGTTTTGTACTCTTCAATGATGGTTAAGATGGCAGCTTTCAGAAGACTTATTTCAGTTGCTATGCAAATGATTAGCAATATTCTTAACACAAGATAAAACCAGAAAGTGACTATTTTGGACTTAGCATCAGTCACTAAAGGAACTCGGTCACTGGAAACAAACTTTGAATTTACAGAGCACTGGGCACTACATGAATAATTTTTTTGGTTCTTATCTAATAATTCAGAATTACAAGAAACCATTTGGAATGTGTTATTTTGAACATATATTTTGGTTACACTGAACGTTCCAATCACAGTGCTATTCATCAAATCTCCTAATCTAATGTTAAAAATATCAGTTTCATTCTTCCCAAATTGTGTGCACTGATGTTCTTGTTCTTCATAAAAGCATAGTTTCAAAGATTCGGCAAAACTTTTATCTTCTAACAAATCTGCTCCATTAGAATCACAATAAATGTTACAGTTGCTTAGAAACATAATTTCTTGTAATGAGCCCTTGTCGCTGGATGCTCCAGGAGTAGAGTTCTCACTTCTAGCTGTGACTGTTATGTTCGAGTTCCTTTCGTTTATTATCTTTGAGTAAATCTTCTCAGGTACACTAATATTTAATATACTAGGACCGCCATCTGGACATGGAAAAGTTGCTTGAAAACTCAAAAATGTAGTATCGGGTACCATTTTCACTGCTGGAACTAAGAGAAATAAATTTGATACTCCAGCACAGAAGACCAAAGATATGCTCAAAAGGATTTTAAAGTTTCCTATTTTGTCTGCAAGAAGCCCAACCAATGGAGTAGCAATCAGGGTAGCCAATGGGGATACAGCAAACTGGATTCCTATTTCTGCAACTGTGATGCCAAGGTATTTCATTGTGCAATGTGAGGAACGGGTATAACGCCATGTCTCCTGCAATGAGAAAGTTAAAGTACAAATAATGACATTGAAAAATGATTATATTATACATTCTGATCATGAAACAAACGTCTAACATAAAATTATTCTGTTGATAGTGTTCAATTATTGTTATTTAATGAAAGCTGTAACTACAAATATTGTCCTCCGAACGCGGTAAGTTCACGAACTTACAATGATAAAATACGGGGTTTCATTCTTTGCGGTGGGCACAGCAGACAGTCCAATGTGCCTTTGCTCTAAAACAAACAAACTACAAGTTTCAGTGTAGTGTTAGGCTTGTTTGCATTTACAGTGATAATTAATAGAGTCTGATAAACTAAAAACAAGACAGCTTTACTTCTCTGAATATCCATTTGGAAAATATCCATTATATTTCAAATCTGACTTAAGACTCATTGAATGTGATTATTTCAACACTGAGAAAGTCATAAGTCTTTTCTAAGCTAAACAAAAAGATGGATCTTATATTTTGTACCAGCCATTGTTTCACTGTGAACTGCATGAAAAGTAAAGCGATTGATGATAATATCTTAAATGTTAACACAATATTTTACGGACGAATCTTGTTTATGATAAGGACACAGACATTCAGTCGACCAATCTAGAGCCCTCTAGTGACTAAGCAGTAAGGTGACTAAGGGCTTATAGCGCGAAAGATCGGGTTTCGATACTTGCAGTGGGCAGAACACAAATAGCTTATGGTGTAGCGCTTAACAACAAACAAACATGAGCAGATTAATCTTGATAAATTGAAATCTCGGAACAGTTATAGATACGATAAAAGATTAAAATTAAATTATTTGATTTAAATCTTATCCTATAGGGACAGATATGGATGATGTAAGGTACCCAGATTCTTTGAGAGAAAGTCCTGGAATTGTTACAATGGAATCTTTGAAACCAAACAAGAACTTGACTGCACACACGCGTGACTATTTCAATAAAGGATTTCGGATAAAACACAAACTGATGTTATCTACAACCCTATTGATCAACATGTGTTCATGAGAACTTGTGATGATGTTACCTCAAAGTGTGGACAAACATACTAGACTGACCTAGTTATTGTTGTAACGTTATTCTCTCGTTGGTAGGTTCTTTTAAGCTATCCGATGAAAATAATTTAACGTCCAGCAACTAAGAACTAGTTTTTTCCCTCCGTTAACGTTGAACACTTGTACACTATCGTAAGTTGCTCTAAGTCAGCGTTTTCCAAACTTTTGTCATCGACGCCCTCTGTAATAAATATTTTATCTTGCGTGCCCCTATTTTTTAAATGTGCGAAAGAGTAATTTAAGTGACGAGATATAATACACGGCTATATATATATATATTAAAAGTTTTATGTGTTCTGGTAATTAGTTATTATTTTTATTAATGAAAATTTCGCATTATTGCACTATTGACACTACCCTAATCGCTCGCACTCTATCCCAAAAGGTCATTTGCACCCCTTGGAGAGTACGCCCCGTACTTTGGGAACTGCTGCTTTAAGTAATTGTTTAGTGTTATTTGTAAAAATAGGCTTATCATTAGTTTATAAAACCATTCAAATTTAGTAAAATGGAATAAATTTTAACAAAACGATTTTTAATATACAAATAAGCAAGTCATGTGACAACTACAACCTATAGGAAGGCGCTTTGAAATAGAATGCATAAGAAATACATTTTGGCATTATTTAACGTTCTATAAGTAAATCTGATCGCTTTTGGGAAGGGTATTTAACAATCCTTTCCAATACAAGTTATTGGTACACTCAGCTCATAAATATGTGTTCAGATCGGGGATTTAGATTTTCCAAGATGGGGGATATCCCTTATACTTTGGAAAAAAAATAGGACTTTGGATCAACTTGGGTCAACAAGACCATGTAGACAGAGGCCTACAATAAGTCATACCCCAGCTGTGGTAAGCAAAATGCAGCGTCTTATAACAGGTGAGAATCCATGAACACAAAGGTCATTGGCAAAAGCCACCCACGTGTCCCAAGCTATACTGCACAATTTAATTGTGAAGGATCTTATCTGGTAAAGTGACACAAGTCAAGTTTACACAAATTCCTTTCATGACATATCTATTCAATCTTCAAATACCTAACGCAGATGGAGAATGAAACAGGTGTTATATATTTTATAAGAAGAAACACCAGTCAAGTCGCTCAACTGTGTGATTGGACTGTTAATACAGCCACTGAAAACAATCATCCTTGTAAGCTATATGGATTATGGAAAACTATCAGAGAGGAGTGGTGTGCTTTAGGCATGAAAAGGCTATCTTAAGGCTGTGCAATAAAACTACACTGGCATGACAGCCTTAAGATAGCCTTCCGCAATAAAACTACACTGCTGGGCTATTGTCCAGATGCCCGGTCGTCAGAAGAGAATAATTGGATGCAGTGAAGTGGTGAGACTTCAAAATTGTTTCATTGTGATTTATCTCAACCCTCTGTAGAACTTAGTTAAAGAAACGTACATTTTCATCCTCATTAAAGGACAAAATTTCGCATTATACTCCACCGAGTAATCCAGAAGAACCCAACTAACAATACAAACCATCACAACACTAACGTACGAAGTGGAATTATTTTGGTTTAAAAAATTAATCATGGCACAACTTTAAGATCACAACATGTGCTCAAAGCTAGAACAAGAATTTTCTAGAAATCATGAAAAATTGGAAAGATGACCAAGAAGAAAGATCAAGAAAAAAAACAACAACATAAAATTGGAAGAAGGTAGAAGAAAGGGTGGGAAGTTAAGAGACATAATACAAGAATGAGCTATGAAATTTGTTGGAGACTTACATACAAAAATCAATTTGATCATATTCCAGGTTGAAGTTTAAAATCCATGAAAATTTACAACAAGTATTAAAGAAGAAGAAATAATCAAAGAAGCCGTAGAATATGTACAGAAGGACATCTATGAAGGGAAAATGTACAACAAATATTAAAGAAGAAGAAATAATCAAAGAAGCCGTAGGATATGTACAGAAGGACATTTATGAAGTGAAAATGGACACCAAAAACAAATTAAAACATCTAGAAACTGAATTGGTAAATACAAGAATCACATTAGCCACATATCTTTTCTCTTTCGCTTAAGAAGTCCAACCTAAAAGATCACTAACTATGCCAAATGGAATAGAAGAACCCCACTACTGTTGTTTAGCCACATATAGCTGCAGGATGTTTCTAGACTAATTTAACTTCACCAGTAGTTCATCAACTTATGGAATTTATTAGGCCAGTCAAACAACTTTGCCCAATTTATAAACCAACAGACTATAACGGAAAGGTACCATGGGAAGCATATCATGTACAGCTTTTAATCATTTCCAACAAAAAGACATAACAACTATTGGTGACCACCTTATAAAACAAATTTGGAATGTTACATCAGAAAGACGTTTCTAAAGATATGTTTAGAAGCAGAGGAAAGACGAAGCATTAGCCAAACTTTCTGAAAAAGAGGGGAGACTTAGCCAATTATATTGTTGTGATGCATCACATGAAATGAGGGATTCAGCAACACATTATAAATTCAAAGATGCCACAGTGGATGAAGATGTACAAGTTAAGATAAAACAAATACGTCTTTAAAAGAAGCTCTTCAATTGACAAAGGAACTTGGATCAATTAAAGTTGCATATAAAGAAGTAAAAGAAAATTTTCTATCACCAGATTAAATAGTTTGAATACAACAACTCCCTGTGATAGAAGTTGAGAATTTTTTTTGTTTTGTTTTGGTTGTTTGTTTGTTTTGAATTTCGCGCAAAGCTACACGAGGGCTATCTGCGCTAGCCGTCCCTAATTTAGCAGTGTAAGACTAGAGGGAAGGCAGCTAGTCATCACCACCCACCACCAACTCTTGGGCTACTCTTTTTTGGTTTTGAATTTCGTGCAAAGCTACACGAGGGCTATATGCGCTAAGCCATCCCTAATTGAGCAGAGATAGACAAGAGGGGAAGTACTAACTATTGTGTTACGTATTAGGATATCAAATGGTCTGATATTGAGTTAACTGATAAATTTAAATTTAGTAGTTAAATTGTACTTTAGATTTAAACATTTGAGTATAAGCCGATAAATAGTCAGTTTATGATATTTGCCAACAAGATTGAAACACACAGTTTTCTGTTTTAACACAAATACGTTTTAATATACACACAACAATACAATTCACAATAATAGTTATTACCAATAGTTATTACAGAGAATGATTTACAAACAAAAGTTTCACAAACTTACAAACAACATAAAGTCTTCTTTCTAGTTTGGAACTCCCTTGATATCTTATCGAGGGTTCACGATAAGCGAGTTAATTAAGAGTTGATGTAGGTACGATTCGCCGGGAAGCCAGCTAGCTTTGTCCTTTGTCACACACGCTGAGTTTTTCCACCTCTGAAGTTAGGTAATGTTTTCGTAAAAATACTAATGTCCGATGAGAATCCAGTGAAGTTAAATAAGTTGTAATGTGCGAACTTTGTAAATATTCCTGGTCAAATATCGGAAGTTTTCCGATTGATAAGCGTTATAACAACCACAGTTATAGCTTTCGAAGTTTATAGCACACTGTTTATAGCGAACTACTAATAGACACTCTCTTTGGCGCGTCGCGTTGGTTATATTTATAGACGTGGGGAGGTTTTCTAGAAAATTAAGATTACGTAACGATACAATACAATTTAAGCGTTTACGTAAATACATATATTGTTGATTCTTAGTCTCGAGAATCTTCTACAACTTTGGAGAATAGGCGGGAGTTTTGCTATACATATTTGACTGTATAAGCTATGTATGTTTTAAAATATAAACGTAATATAAACAAACGTTGATATTAAAATAAATATATAACAACAAATTCGTTACATAACCTACTCAACACCATCAACTCTTTGGCTATTCTTTTACTAATAAATATTGGGATTGACAGTCATATTATAATGCCCCTATGGCTGACAGGGCGAACATGTTCGGTTATGTGAAT